CAGGGGCCATATACCAGCACGCGCCTTTTAGGTCAGCAAAAGCCTCCACAGGAGACCTGTAGAGTCGGGTGCTGGTAGTTATACTTCTGCCGGTCCCCAGCCCTTTGTACATGACATCTCTATGTGGAAGATCTTGCTTCGATCAGAACCCCCCCCAAAAAACACCTTTGAATATGTTTTTGGAGTCAACAGCTGAATCATTCATCTGAACTATACCTGGTTTCCTGGGCAAAAAAACACACTTCAAACCTTCATTCCCTTTGGTTTCTCCGTGCACACAACAACATGAAACCAAAAACAGAGAACACAATGAAATGTGATTGAGAAAACCTGAATCCCAATTCAATCCACTCCGCAGGGCAAGATCAGAGTGAATGTTTTCCATGGAGTGCCCACTTCCACGGCAGGTCCTCCAGGTTCCACGGCAAGTCCTCCAGGTTCTGCCGGGGTAACGCGCCTTTTCCACGCCGGTTGCGCGTGGCCTTGCCTCAGGAAGCCTTCTACCAGTCGGTGGCCCATGCCTCCGCCGCGGGCGCCATCATCCGTGTCGGGGAGCAAGTGCACCCCTTTAAGCCACTGGGCCGCCAGTGGATGGAGAAAATGATCGACGAGGCAGTGGACATCATGGATCCCAGACACGACACAAATGGGACTGCCGATCAGTGCAGGTGCTTTGGGGGGGGTCAATGTAGGCATAAATGGCATACATGGAATTTTTGGAGATGCCCTTGAACTTTCTGTAACAGTCAGTTCAGTACTCAATCCCTCTAAGTCAATGACCTCGTTAAATTTGTTCATATAGAATTGGAGACACTCACCACTATTTACTTTATTAGAACCTAGTTTTACTTGGTCCCACTAAAGTTCCGTTAAAACCAAAGATAGTGTTCATGATCTCTTCAGGTGGTTTGGAAGGGAATCAAAGGCGATTTTGAGTGATAATCCAGGTGTTCTTGGTGGTTTTGAGGCTGATTATTCGACATTAAGAGCAAAGAGGCCTGAATTGTTGGCCAACTATTCAGCGTAACAGGACCATAACAATTCCGTAACAACCCCCTCCAGGAGACTTCTAAAACTGCAAATGATCTTCCAAAACCGTAACAGGAGCGTAACTGTAGCGTAACAGGTCCTTAGTCCCCTAATGTTTGCCAAATGTAAGGAAATCGTGACCAGGGTTTTTAAATTTTGCAATGTTTGACGTTATCTGACAGTTGTTTTGTTTGCATGAATTAAACAATTGGGTGCATTTTTGCAGGTTCTATGTGCCATTAGTGCGGTGATGTTGAACTCGCGTGGATGAAAGGGCTTGGGTTCCGACAAATAAAAGGTACCCGTAAAACTTGTTCTTTTTGAACAGTACTCGTTTAACTTGCACTTCGGACTTGCAGGGAATAAGGCTTATGTCTGAACAAACCCTGCAACTATTTTTGAACAAGCCCTGCAACTGAACCATCATCATCCACTGTTACTTGTAATAGGATGGACCCAACTTTTAGGTACCGAAATCGAACCCCTCTATTGTTCCAAAGGGCGGACATCATTGGTGGACATGGAGTTGTCAAGCGAGGGGGTGGAGGAACTCACCGGGCGGGAGATTATGGGAGGAGTAGGCGGTCGTTAGGGAGACTCCAATTTAACTAGTGGTTTGCGAGGCCCCTTCATATGTTTGGAATCCTATGGGGTTGGATTGTGGAGGAAGGAATCCAAGTAGTGTTCATAAATCGACAAGATTCGGAAATCCCTTGACGTTGTAAGCTGTAGCACAGCAATGCCAATTGACAGCACCTGAAATTACATGTCGGGTTGGTTTTTAGATGTTTTCAGTCCCATGTTCTAGGGCACCCCTACCCTCCAAGTTCACCTCCCAGGCGCCGCTCGCTCATGCTGCACTCCCCACGTGTGTGGCGACCCGGCGGACCCTCCGAGACGGACCCAGGAGGGTGTCTTCCAGTCTTCCCCCCAGCAAAAAATAGCTCCTGGCGACTCTTCCCATTCTTCTCAGGTTCGGTGGGCAGAGACCCCCCCCACCCAAACCACCTTGCCGAAACGCAGGTAGGCCAGGAGCCCTTTGGGGGGTTATACCCACCACAAGCCCCTTTAGGAACCAGAAATCGGTCCTCCCCGACAGGACAATCGGTCCTCCCCGGAGAACAGCATCCCCAACGCACCCCTTCCGAACAACGGAAATACGAATGGCCGATATCACACGTCAGAAAGCTTGCAGTTGTGACCTTCCCGGATGCAGTGACCCAAGTTGCGAAGTATATAATATCTAGGCAATTTAAAACGACGTCACCGACGTCACCCTGAAATTAACGAGCAAGCTGAAATTAAGGTATGGTTATGGTCATACTAACATCACACACACACACACACGCAAAACACACACACACACACTTCATCGACTTCACAGTCCTGGCAGAGATTTTGGAGGCGCGGGCGGGCGTGGGCACTGGATCTAGGACTGGATTTGCATGGGGAAGAGGATGTCAGTCAGTTGGAGTTTTGCTTGAGTTTTCGGGCTCGAGTTTGCAAAAAAATAAGAAGTCATGCCTCACCTGCTCACTCTCCACACCACTAAAAAACACTGCCCAATTTCGAGGTCGGGAAGTTTTGAAGTTCTTTTAGTCTTTTGAAGTTCTTTTCTCAGAGACGGCGCATTCAGCCAGATCTTGTGGACGAAAAAGATCCTTGGAACTTGAAATAGTGATGGTTTGGTTGTTTTCCCTTTCACACCCAACCTGACTGGTTCTTTCCTGGCAAAATCGTTTTTGGGCCTAGTTCGCCGAACTAGGATTTGAGGCCTGGCGGCCTTGAAAGTGGATTGTTGGGGCCTTATTAGGTTGTAGCTCGGCAAACTACGCTGGGAAAAATTAGTTTTCGCTAGCTTTCCTTTGCGTGTTGTCAAATTTGTCTTGAAGCAAGATTTTGGGCCAACGAAAGGAAACAGGAGGGGGGGCAAGGGGAGTCGAACCCATAAACTTTGCCGAGCTCATAGGTGAAGCGTGTGGTCCTAAAACGAGTTTGCTTCACTACAGGGGCTTGTTTCAGGCTAGTTGTCGGGTTTCCCCATCTGGGCCTGGAAACGAAGCTCTCCTTTTCAGAAGCGTCCCCAAAAACGATTTCGGGCCTAGGTCGCAAATTTGTGATTTTGAAGGACATTGCCAAACTGCAAGAATCAACGGAAACCTTGATTCCCAAAGCTGCAGTTGGGCGCTTGGTGGAAGAGGAATTGGATGCAGCGTCGCAGAGGCGGCAAGCTGATCGACAGGAAGGAGTTGAAGAATTTTTGGTTGATCGATACAAGATGTCGTCTGATGCCTTGAAACTTCTCCAAGAGGCAAGTGAGGCTCATCTGGTTGATATGTTCTCCAACATGAATGTTTTGGCCAGGCACCGCAAAGCGGTGACAATAGAGCCGAGAGATTTGAACGTTCTCAGGTACCTCAAGCAATAGTTTTCCCTCCCTGGCAAAAATCCATTGTGCTTGCTGAGCTGGCTCTTGATCTTCGTACGAACGACCAAACTTATTGCTGGTGCCCCTTCCACTACCAGGCGTGAGGACTCTACTAGGGGCTCCTGGCCTTACTACTAGGAGCGAGGACTCTGCTAGGGGCTCCTGGCCTTACTACTAGGCTCCCTCTACCAGGGGCTCCTGGCCTTGCTACTAGGAGCGAGGACTCTACTAGGGGCTCCCCCTCTATTAGAGGCTCCTGGCCTTACTACTAGGAGCGAGGACTCCACTAGGTAGAGGTCCAAACCCACCCCACCACAGCAAGCCATCCAAACTTTTCCCACTTGCGGCAGGCACAGAAGAAAAGAGGACCAGCATTTCTTCTTAAGTTTTCTTGGTTGGTTGTCAGGCAACACGAGGGTGAGGATGTTTTGGGATGCCGTCTCTGCATGGAATGCAGTCGGGCCCCCGGATCGAATAAGACGCTCTGGGTCGCTATACAAGATTGGCACTTATTTTTACTCTCGAACATTGGAGGAGCACCAAAATTCCAGCACGCGTGTGAAAAGTCTAGAAGCTCAGGCAGCTCAGGAAGCTCAGGATTTGAAATCTCCAGCAAGAGCATCGTCACCATCTCCACTTCGCACTCCGAAATCTAAGTCGGCGGCTTCAGCATCGTGTGATACACCACTTTCCAGTCCGCCTGCTGACCAAGAAAGGCCAACAAAGACGGCTCAACGATATGAAAACCTCTTGACTGGGGCCTACGCAACCTTGTAGCATGAAAACCCCATTGCTGATTTCTGCTTGCTCACCGAATTTGCCCGGCTTCGTGGAGGACATCTCCCACAAGCAAAAAGCTCCGAACAAATTTTCGGGGAATGCCGAGAGTTGATTGCCAATCATCTCTTGGAGCAGTTTTTGGTGGAGGTAAGGGCCTCTCCATATTATTCAATCTCCTTGGACGAAAAGGACCGGTTCCTTATTGTGGTGCTGAGCTATTTCAAAGAGGGCCGGAAGACTGTGCCCGTTGCGTATCGTGATTTGCCAGGATTTGAAGCCATTGACATTTTTACATTAGTCCGGTCTTTGTTGGAGAGCTGGGGGCTTGACTGAGCTAACTTGATTGGATTTACAGCTGACGGGGCTTCCGTCATGATTGGCTTTCCGGTGCATTTCCCACTCTTCCCTTCGGGAAAACCAAACACGCTCTAGTTCCGCAAACTAGGAATAAACAACAAGAAGCAACCAAACTGTTCCCTAACCAGGGTTTTCACTTGTAGTCCAGCGAACTACACCCCCAAAAATAGGTTTTGGATACAAAACATGTTCCCCCTTTGTAAGAAGTAAAAACGCTCTAGTTCAACAAACTAGGAATAAACGACAAGAAACAACCAAACAGTTCCCTAACCAGGGTTTTCACTTGTAGTCCAACGAACTACACCCCTAAAAATAGGTTTTGGATACAAAGCATGTTCCCCCTTTGTAAGAAGTAAAACGCCCTAGTTCAACAAACTAGGAATGAACCATTGGAAGGGACAAAACTGGTCCCCAACAAGGTTTACCCTTTGTAGTAGAACGAACTACACGAACAAAAATTGTGTGAACCACAAAAGACCCACTGCAATCGCTCCAGTTCCACTAGCCAGAGCCTTCTCGCGCGCAGGTGGACACGTGGCTTCAGCTTTGGTCGCCCCTAGCTGGCCAGCGTGTTGGCTGGCTGGGGGCGTTAGGGCACAACGACGTCACCATAATTTCGTTAATTTCGACGACGTCACTAAATTCAGTTTTGAATTTAACGAAATTAACCGACGACCCAAGAATTATTTTAAATTGCCCAGATAATATCCCTATCACAGGATGCAGCACGCTGGCGAAAAGGTGACTTGGAGATACTTGGAGAACCATTTCCCTAAGGACCCGAGAGCCCTTCCTCAGGACAGATGTCTACATCTTGATTGCTTATGTCAGTTGGCCCTCAAAAGGGGCTCCCCCTTCCCTTCGCAACGTCCAGCAAAAGCTCCAGCAAGAAAACTCCAGCTGGAATCTAATTCATTAAGGTTGCTTAGTTAATATATCTTTTCAGTCAGCAAACACCTTTAGCTTTGTTTAGGGTACACTTTTTTGTGGAAGTTTACAAACATCATGCAAAAAAAACTCAACGCATAAACGAAAAACACATTGAAAAGATCAAGTAGATCTCTATAGAAATAACACAATAAAGTAAGATAAACACTCAAAGAAAGTAAAAAAACAATCAATCACATCAACTTAAACCAAGAATTGGTGGGGGTGTTCAGCTGTATTTAGGTGTATTAATCCCTGGTCAGCATTAGCCTGATCTGGGCGCATTCAAAGCAACCTTTGGCAGGATACATTATTGAACCAATACATCGTTGGCGTGTTTCACGTGGCTCTTCTGCAAATCCCAAACGCTCCATGTATGCCATATTTGCCTACATTGGGGTGGTTTTGGGGGTCAATGTAGGCATATAACATACATGGAGTGTTTGGGAATGGCTGAAGGTATTGACGAAAGTCTTGTTTTTTTTCTTCTCATGATTTCCATCGGGTGTCGTCGAATGGTGATCCAAGGAGGGAGTGGGCAAAAAGCAGCGAGGCTATTGGAGGTCAAACATGTGCTTTCACCTTGGAACGCGCCACAAAGAGCAAAAAAGGCCAGAAACGGTGCGTGAACCCCAAAGGTTCTGGGTAACCTTACTTGGAGGTGATGCGAACGCGGCTACTTACAATGGTTGCCTTCAGCAAGCACTTCAGGCATGTTGCGTACGCACAACATCAAACTTTTGGTGCGCTTGTTTGGGCCCTGCAGCTGTGGGGCCCTGCAACTGTTTCCCAGGTATGATTCAAGCCCCCTTTGGAAGACTCGTGTCTCCGACAATGCCAGGTGCCCCACCGGATCGTTCCAACGTCATCTGAATGCCAAGATTCTCATTCCCCGGTAGGCATCGATGATACAGAAACGAATTCAGGCAAGTGTAGCAAAGAAGCTGAAGCCAAGCACAAGCAGAAGAAACTCGATCAGGGAGTTCCCGGGAAGGTCCCTGAGATTTGTTGAGGTCCAATGTTCACGGCTAGCGAGCTCTTGCGTGGCAGAGTGCCCGATCTTGGCGATTAAGTCTGTGCCGGCACCGGAATCACCGGAGTTTTGAAGCCGATGGCGCAGACGTCTCCGAATGAGCCTGAAAGAACATCGGAATCGAGAGCTCTCCAGACTGCTGCAAGCTGCAGCAGGTCGACAGGAGCTTCCAGCGGATCCTGGGGAATAGGCTCTACGTACGATGTGTACGGTACGTCATGTCGCTGGTTGGTTCTTTGTTCGGGTCAAGCGTGTCCGGTTTCACGTACTCCAGCCAGTATACCCTTCATCACCCTTCCTTCCTGAATCACTCAGACACTCGCAAAGTATCCAGCAGTAGCCAAATGTTATGTTTTCGTCAAGGGAACGTCAGAGTCTCAGGGCTTTGGTACGGTAGGGCAGAACAATCACCATCGGACCATCGTCATTGGCTTTGTCCACTGCTGTTCACTTTGTCCACTGCTCTTTTTGGTCGCGTGTTTCGCTAGGAAATCTGTCAGCTGTCTCCCTATCTCTCTCAAGTGTTCACCGATCACATTTGATCACTGACGGTTTCTTGACCACTCAGTGAGCACCATCTACCTCACACCTGTGCAAGTATTTCTCCGCAAGCCCCACCGGGGGCCCACCATCCCCTACTCAGATCGGACCATGAGGCTCGGCGCCCGTGGTGATCACCCGGGCGAGATGTATTTCAAGAACTCCACTCTATGGGTCCAAATGGGCCCATGTTGTTTGGACCACTAGAGATAGACTTAGATGTTATAACTACGGCTTTGTGATATCACTCATGCATAGAGATGTGATTCACAACTCTATACACCGTTCATGGGCTCATCCCATAGGTAGCACCCAAAAGGGTTCTATGTAGTTAAGGTCAAGGTCTCCAAGACTTGGCTGAGTCAAGCTTCAGGCTTGGCGACCGGATGTGGGTTTCGTGGTGGTGCCTTTGGCCGAAAGGGCGGGCCCGGGCTGCGAACCGCGACCAGATCGGCCAGCGGTGGTCGAAAAGGGAGGACGACGGAAGGGTCTCCCATCCCTGGCGCACCCACTCTGGACTCGGTGGTCGAGGTGGAACGACGACTGTCCGAAAAAAGCCTTATACTCAACCAGATCCTTCAAAGTCGCTATAAACCCTAAGCAGAGGATCGTTCTGGACAGCCATGTCTGCACAACTCAAGTTTTCTCAGGTACTGGCAGTCTCCCTTTGACCTGCCTAGGATATCATTTTGAGGCGTGTGTTGGGGTTGTGACCCGGACCTCAGAGCCAATCCCCCCAAAATCCCCCCAAAAAGAAAGTGATGAGCTAAGAGCGGCCACTCCACTCATGACACAATCAAGAAGACGCTTGAGTCAAGACAGTCAAGACCAAGATTCATTATAAGTCAACGGATGTCAACGGGACTTTTTCACGGAGTAAAACATATCCCCCCTTAACACATATATCATAGGTTAGAAACATGCGCAACATGAGGTTTATCACTCACCTGCGCCAGTTCTCCGAGGTTTTGGGGGCGTTTCGCACCTCCGACGTCGCGCCCTCCGCCGCCTCTCAGGCGATGAAATACAAACACGTGCCCTACGGTCCGACGCCCCGGTCGTGTCCGGCCGTGGCCCTCGTTGCGCCTGGCGGATGCGGAGCACTAGTATATGGATGCTGGTTGAAATCCATAGATGCCGATAGTGCCCAAATACATCCATGGCAATCCATAGTGCCCATAGTGCTCAATTACATCCAATTACTATGATATCTTCATGCAATTGTTGGGGTTTGGTATGGATGGGTGGGAGCCCATACCAAGGCGGGGGAGAGAGCCCACAGAATGGGTGCTCTCTGAAAAAATAACAGGACAGGAATACCCAGACAATCCATGGGACTTCACCTGGGGTCGATGTAAATAAATATGCCACACATGGATGGTTTGGGGTACGATTGAGCGGTTTTGCAGGCCGGAGGCGCCTGACACCCGGTTTAGTGAACAATGCTTTGGTCCAGAACCACCCAACAAGGGAGGTTTATAGACCCCCCTGAATATGTATAATATAGTATTAGCATTATATTTTATGGCAATTATGTTTTATATTTTATGGCAATATGTTTTAACAAACACAACGTGGTGCTCCCGCATACTCGGCCATAGGAGGACGCCACGGTCTGGGGGGGCTACGGAGACGAACCGATGCCCAAAGGCCCACAGTCTGGTGGTGGTGGCGGTCGTCTCCACACGACCCACCAAGGGACAGTTGCAGGGGGACCTTCTGAGGTGCCCAAAACCATAGAACATCTTGCAGGCTTTCGGGACTCCAATTGGACCCTGTGCAGGTCGAACCAAACATCCACACACAGGGAAACCCATGTCTTCATACTTCACCGAAACGCGGGCCGCCCGGGCCCACTGTGGATGTTTGGCGCAGCGCGACCACTTCCGGTGCTCGCACCACGTGGCGACGTCGTGTTCGCCGGAGCGCCGGAGCGCTCAAGGCCCTGGGGTTTGGCCGGCCTTTTGGTTCCTGAATAGCGACCGTCCTTGGCCAAGTGGTGGGCTTGCCCCAGTGCTGAGGGCGGAGGGCGGTCCGAAACCTGCTCAGAAGTCTTGGCCAGGAGTTCTCCCGTATGTTCTGTGTGGATGTTGTTTTAGTGGGTTGCTGAAGATGGCTTGGGTTTGCTTGGGACGATGAAGGTTTAGTCAAACTATCTACAGTAAGGATAGTTGCGGATTGAATGACGCTTTTGATATCTTTGATAGTTTGATTTGGGCTTTTAACCAACAGCCCTTGTGTATCCTTTTGTAACGCATCAAGTTGGGAAGCAAGCTGGCAAAAGTTCTATTCATGGAACATTAAAGGTAGCGCATATAGCTCGACCTTCCAGGCCACCAGGCCCTTTTTGGGGGCCTGCTCTCCGAGCATTCCGACCCTGGGAATGTCCGACATTTGTCGGACCCTGAATCATCGCCTCTTCCGGAAGATAACTCGTTCGGTATCTCCGGTATGGACATCTCTATAAGCATGGGGAACTTGGCAGCGCACAGTGCCCAACAAAGGTGGAAAGGAGGGTGAATCATGAACATGACCAGCACCATCCAGCTCGGGTGGTTTTAATCGACCCCCCTCCAAATGTATTGTCCATCTAATACCCACCTGACATGGGTGGTGCTGGAGTGCTGGAACATGGACTTTATGATATACGACCATGCCATACAACTTGTGACCTTGGGAGACTTGAGGCCAACCAAAGGATGTCGAACAATCTCAGATCACCTTGCCTTGCTTGAGGTCTATAGGCGGTCTAGGAGCGTTTGATTCGGACTTTGGAGCTGAATGATCTACCTTTCAACACCACCCTCTTCAAGACTGGTGATGAGAGTTTTGCCCCCCCAAATTCCGTGCAAAAAAAATCCGTGGATCCCCGTCAGAGGGATCCTTTTCCTGTAGCCTGTACACTCCGTAGCCCCGATTTGGGATGACCATGAAAACCGAAGGCATCCGCAGACCAAACAGGTGGTTCTTCCATGATTATTTCAAGGAGTGTAGTGTTCGATCCTGAAAAGCAAAACCACCCCTCCTCCCTAGCAAACAATCGAGGGAGGCTGAATATAGAGTCAAGTCCACCAAAAGCCATTGAGATTGAGGAGTAGTGGCAGCAGCAGCAACAGGTGGTGGTGGTGGCGGTGGTGGTCGTAGTAGTAGTAGTAGTAGTAGTAGTAGTAGTAGTAGTAGTAGTAGTAGTAGTAGTAGTAGTAGTAGTAG